CTGTGCTCCCAGAATTTTATGGACCCTGAAAGGAAAGATTGCATATTCCTAACCCAGGATGCCAGATATGATTATGAAGACAGCTTACAACCTTTTCTGTGGAAATTGACAAAAACTTGTGACAAATTCAGAGAAAATAAAGTGACCTGTCAGTGTAGTCAATCATTCACTATCACTGAAAAACTCCACATGAGAATTTTAGTGCCACATTTTGCTATATTTGCTATACTTGCTTGCATAAAAATAGCTTTGATTTTAATTACTGGGACTACTTGTAGGGGTGAAAGAGTTTCTACAGTTTGGGTCTGGAAAAGAGATTTTTAATTATTATTATTATTTTTTGAAATCATCGACTCTTTTGGCTATTTGGTGAAGCTTATGTGCCCTTTCTCAAAATAATATTTTTAAATGCACAAGATGAAACATGGAGGATAATAAAGGAAACCAATTAGATTAAAATTCAGTTATCTCTCTATATCTGTCTCTCTATATATGTGTTATCTAGCTTTCTGTAGTTCACAAATCCCGGTTTAAGAACCCCTGGTCCATTCTTTTTGTATCAATCCTTTAACTCTGACATTCACTGGCATCTAACTCTGGCATTTAATTCTGACATTCCCTCTATTTCAGTATTTTAAATAGACTCTCATATTTTGTGCCCTAAGGGACAACTAAACACCACACCAAATGGTGTTGCACAATTTCTGTGCTGCATCGTTCTGACTCTATATGTCCTGAAGCAAATATAAGCTCAATTCAGATTCAGGACACTACATCTGGTTCTATTTGGACAGTTCCTGCTTGGCAGGTCCTCTAAGACTTTTCCTGTCTAGAGAGGGGTTCCCAGAACATAAACTCCTACAAGATTTTGGCCCTGTCTCACTCCCTGCAATCCTGGCTCTGTTAGTCCTTTTTTTCCTCCAAGTCAAACTATAAGCTTTATGGTCCCTTTGTGGTGGCAGGTGGCACTTGAGTGCCAGGCTTCCTCCATAAATATACTTTCCATAAATACACCCTCACTTTGAATGGTATGGAACTTTTGATCAGAATTAGTTTGACCTATATCTGTAAGTGTACCCCTTTTTAAAGTGGAACATTAATATGCTCCAATTTATAGACCCCATGGTTGCTATAATCCACTTTGTAGAGCAAATAGAAATCCAATGATATAATGGAGATTAAAAATTACAACACTAGACGTTTTTAAACAGTTTCATTTTGGGAAATGATTCTAACATTGAGCTCTAAACTTGAGACTTCGCAGGTCTCCTTCCAAATTTTTCTAAATTCAAAAGTCTGAGTCAAATTCTGTTGAGAATAAATGTAATCATTAGAGCATTAGCATTAAATTGGAAAGCTAAATACTTTTAAAACATGTTCAAGGAGAATTTCCCCACCTGCCTTTTCTGACCCTTGTTAGTTACTAAAATACTGGATTACTCATATTCAGGCATACATATAACAACCATTTGTTAGGAAAAATATTATGTGCTAAGAATTGTAAATACAAGCAGGGAACTTACATTCTAATTGGGGTAAGTGTAGAGGTAGAACCTACTCTGAGTCATGGTGCTGAAGTCACAAGATTAAGAAGCAGAGCCTAGAAGAGATTGAATGATAGTCAACCAGGACTTGTCCCCAAAATGAGGATCCAGAAGGAACTCACAATAGAAAAAGAGGGTATAGATGGTAGAGGGAAATTTAAGTATGATCATTTAGCTGAGTCATGGTAACAAATTCTGGAGAATAAGTAGCATAGTGTGGAAGGTAATTTATAAAAAGTTTGCTATATTTAAGGCAATGCACTAAACACTTGGTTCTTCTGTGGAATTTAGCTCAATTTTTATTTTAAAAGAATTTGAGTAAAAAAACTAAGGTTAAAAACCTAAGAGTTCCAACATGCCACAAAAAAGAAAGAAAGTGGATTGATAGGAAACAATATGGTGAACTTCCCTATAAAAACTCCTCTAAACAGATTTAGAAAATTCACTAGACTGAACTCTGATGGGGGAAAATCCACAAAAAGTTACAATGAATCATTTTTCCAGCTTAGCTCAGCATAGAAAGATACAGAGATCTGTGGACACTGGGCATAGGATTCAGCTTTGTGTGGGGAGCACTCCAGGGCTGAGAGAGATGATCTATATGAGGGAACAAGAGATCCCAGATCCACATTGGGATATTGTGATGGGGACAGGTGTGAATTGACACCTTTGCTGTCCACTATCCAAATCCAGGGCAGACTGAGAACGGGATCTGCACGGGGGGGTAACATTCCTTGGTAGTGAGGCATTGAGCAGTGTCTGGAAAAAGAAGGAAATTCATAAGCTGGAAGCATCAGCCATTTGGTTCAGACCCCAAGATAGAACATAATGTTACTTAAAACATCTTGCCCAGCCTGGAGAAGAATTAATAGGGCAGGGATGCCAGACCAAAGGGAAAGCTACAAGTCTACCATTCTAAACCAACATAACTTTCAAGCTAGCTAATAGAGACTGAGTGCAGTATCAGTCTACTCTAGCATAGACCCAAAAGTAGACTCAGAACATGCAGTGATCAGACTGAAGGAAGGGAAAAATTTGCCTTGCTTTAGACCACGTTGGAAGCGCTGAAATATTGCATGTCCCTGACATGCCCTTGAGATCCTAGAATAACATAACATTCAAAACTCCCAAGAAGCATGAACAGAGCTAGCCCAAAACATCCTTTCAGAAATGTCACAGAGCCTAGCCCTAATATCAAGTCCAAAATCAATGAGTAAGGAGGACAAATGCGAAAAAAAGAACCATACCATAAAGAGTATCACAGTGGCAGGGACACTCAAGACCCAAACTCAGAAGATGTCAATGACTCAAAACATTTAAAAGCAAAGCCTCAGAGAAAAAATATTGCTTGAGTACAAACTACTTGAATTCCTGGAAGAGATGAAATAAGAGTTTATGCTTGAGGGGAAAATATAAAAGAAATGAAAAATATGGAAAAAAGAATTGGAAGGGAATTAATATCTTGGTAGCAGAGGTACAAAGCTTGGCTAAACAACAAACTCCCTGAAAATTTGCATGGACCAAATAGAAGCCAATGACTCCATGAGACAAGAGATATTAAAGTCAAAGGGCTAGAAAAAAAAGAAGAAAATGTAGTTTGTCATAAAAATAAAAAACCCAAAACTCCTTGGAAAACAGACCAAGGAAAAATAAATTATGGATTAATGAGCTATCTTAATGTCATGACCAATATGACATCATATTTCAAAAAATCTTAAAAACAAAACTGGGCAGATCTCTTAGGACAAGAGGACAAATTAGAAGTAAAAAGAATCTACTAGTTACCTCCTGAAATGAACACCCAAATGAAAATTCCCAGGAGCATCATAGCCAAAATCTAGACATTCCAGATTAAAGAAAAAAATACAGCAAGCAGCCAGAAAGAATTTAAGTACCAAGGAGCCACAATCAGGATGACACATGATTTAGCAGCCACCACTCAGGAGTGAAGAACTTAGTATATTAATATTCCACAAAACAAAAGATATAGGCTTACAACCAAGAATAACTTACACAGCATAACTGAATAGGATATGGGGCAGGGGATGGGGGAATGGACCTTTAATGAAACAGAGGACATTCCTAATGAAAAGATCAGACTGTGGGAAAACTTTCAAGTTGAAACACAGGAGAGAAGAGAAACATAAAAAGAAAAACATGCGTGCATTTATTACTTCATAAAGGAATAAATAAGGGTATAGTGCTTACTTTTAAAATTTGGGGAGAAGTTACATGAGTCTACTCTAAGCCCTGAATCAGGATTCATAAAGGGAGTCTAATTAGATAATGCATGGGAATGGTTCTGTAATGTCTTGTTGATCTTAAAAACAGAATGAAAGGAGAAGAGAAGAGGAATGCTGGAGGCGGGGACAAAAGGGGAGGGAAAGGAAGTTTAGGGAAAATTATCTTATATAATCTGGATGCACACATAAACAACCATATAAATAAGCAGAAGAGATGTGGGGGAGCAGTTGACACTTGAACTAGACTATCATCTGAACAGGTAAAAAGAAAGATTAATATACACACAGAGTTGGATGTAGAAATAAATTTTACTCAACAGGGAAATAGGAAGGAAAGGAGAAATAGAAGGAGGGTAGATTCAGGTAATGGTTAGTCATTAGCAAAACAAACTCTCATGATGTACAAAAAATATTTATTTTTAAGATGACAGAATGGGAGTCTGGGGCAATAATATTACCATATTGGGTAAAAGATGAGTAGGTTATGGTACAAATACATACACCCACAAACATATGTATGTATATGTATATATGTATATATGAATATATGTATATGTATGTATGTGTGTATTCATTATTAACATATTCAATATCAGCATAATGACCAACCAGGATTCTAGAAGACTAATGATAAAATATGATAGAGAGGTAAAAGACTCAGAATGCAAAATGATTTTTTTTTAGGGATCCCTTTTTTTTTTTAGTATGGTGAACATGGCATGTGCTCAATGTATTTCACCAAAATATTCATAGAACCAAACAAACATCAATTCCACTTAACATCAATTCTCTAATTCTCTTCCCTTCTAAACTAAAACTGAGTTCTGGGCTAACAGCTATTCAGATAGTATAGTGCTGGTTCAACACCTGGATCTGAATATTCAAATAATAATTTACATTCACAAATTGAGTTATTGCCTGCCTAATGGCCTCAATCTGCATACATAAACACAGATCTTTAACATGTTAATAAGGTGAGTGCAAATTTCTTGTATAGACTGAAGGAAGGTGCTTTGAAACTATCATCCAATTTGTCACAATAATTATAGTGATACTTTTTACATTGATATAGTGCTTCAGAGTCTACAAAGTGTTTTCATATATATTATCTCTTGGGATTTGTCTTGTGAATGGAATAAGTTGGGAGAAAAGGCATTCCCTTCAAAATTTCAACAATGTGAGACCATTCAATCTATCCATCAATATTTATTACCTGTATGTTCCAGACAATATGCTGCACACTAGAAACACAAATATGATGAATGCAAAACCCACTCCCGAGGGGCTTACACTCAGATGTGGAGTGTGGTGGGGTGGTGAAGACTAGTGAATCAATAAGAGTAAACAGAAAAGTCAAATTTGTAAACAAAAAAATTCAAAGTATTTGACAACAAGATAGGTCCATTAAGGTAAGAAGCAAGGGCACTCACTGGAGGCTGAATGGATCAGCAAAGGTTCCATGTAGCAGGTGAGGCTTGCGTTATGTTTTGAAGGAAGAGAAGGATTCTATGAGGTGCAGGATTAAAAAGATGACATTCCAGGCAACATTTCCAAGATATGGCATTTCCACAGGGCCAATGTGAACAGTTTTTTATTTCTTGAGTATTTAGCTCTACTATAATTTCATTGAGTCACATTTTTTTGAGTTTTTTTTTTTGTTTGTTTGTTTTTTAGGCAATAGGGGTTAAGTGATTTGCCCAGGGTCACACAGCTAGTAAGTGTCAAGTGTTTGGTCTGAAGCCAGATTTGAACTCAGGTCCTCCTGACTTTAGGGTCGATGCTCTATCCACTGCATCACATTTAGAAATAAGAAAATCCTTTGTTGCAATCAGTTTGGAAATTTTTAGACAAATGAAAAGTGAAGAGCATTCCTAGCTAACCACTAGTCTTAGCTCACAGGAGAGCTAAAATTAGATAAGAACTTTTGCAGGTAGCACTTCAGAAAATGGGGAGTTGGAGAGAAATTACTTGTTGGCTAAACTTTATACCCAATAATTACTGTACCTCCAGCTTCCTGGTCAATTCTCAGCTTTTCTAGTTGGTTACCTTCTATTCTTTCTTTGGTGTGATTAGAACTTTTCTTTCACTGTTTGTTTTGCTTTCACTATTTCATAATTTTAACAGCAAAAAGACAAGCATGCTGTCCCAAATTCCCAGCTGGGTTTGACCAAAAAAACATGAACACAGGTAAGGACACATTTCCTCCTTCTGGCATCTCCATTTCAAAATTAAAAAAAAAAAGCTATTGAAAAGCTTGGTATTTTCTGGGTAATGAATTTAAACACTTTCAAATCACCAACTATCCATAGTAATATATCTGTGAGAGAGTCAATTTAAGCAAGGAAACTGGATAAATCTAGACAAGAAAATATAAGTCCAAATGGTTAAATGATTTATCTAAGTCACACAGGTCGTAAGTACAGAAGTTGGATTTCAAACTCAGGTATTCTGATTCTAAATCCAGACTTCTTTCCATTATGCCACACTTTATAATGATGAGATGCATGTTGTTGTTGTTTCCTCTCCCCACTGCATATCTGTGCTTTCGTAAATATGGGTGATTCCTAGGCAAAGAAACTTCTTCTCTCAGTACATACTTGAAACTACTTTGAAAATAGTCTTAGAGAGTTGTTTGGGGTCAGTTAGAGAGTTTAAATAACTTTTTTGGGGGTCACATAGCCAGTATATTTTCTGGCTCTTTTTTTTAAAAACTGGCTTTCAAGTAGTCCAATAATTCTTAAATTATCTCTCCTGCATCTATATTCTAGGTCAATTGTTTTTCTAATGAGATATTTTACATTTTCTTCCATTTTTTTCATTCTTTTGATTTTGTTTGATTAATTCTTGGTGTCACGCAAAGTCATTAGCTTCCACTTGCCCAATTCTAATTTTTAAGGAATTATTTTTTTTTCTTAGTTTTTGTACCTCCTTTTCCATTTAGTCAATTCTACTTTTTTTGGGGGGGGGGCTAGGCAATGGGGTTAAGTGACTTGCCCAAGGTCACACAGCTAGTAAGTGTTAAGTGTGGAAGCCGAATTTGAACTCAGGTCCTCCTGACTCCAGGGCCAGTGCTCTATCCACTGTGCCACCTAGCTGTCCCCAATTCTACTTTTCATGGAGTTGTTTTCTTCAGTGGATTTTTTTTTCATTTGGTCAATTCTATTTTTTTAAGGAATTGTTTTCTTTAGTTAATTTTTGTCCTTCCTTTTCTAAGCTGTTGACTCTCTCTTGCATAACTCTTATTTATTTTCCCAATTTTTCTTTTACTTCTCTTATTTGAGTTTTAAAATCCTTTTTGAGCTCTTCCAAGAGGACTTTTTGGCCTTGAGACCAATTCATATTCCCCTTTGAGCCTTTGCATGTAGGCATTTTGACATTGTTGTTCTCTTGTGAGTTTTTTTTTTTTAATCTTCCTTGTTGCCATAGTAGTTTTCTTAGTCAAGGCTTTTTTCTGTTTTTTTTTTTCAGTCATTTTCTAGTCTATTTTGGGATGTTTAAAGTTGAGCTCTGCTCCTGGGGTACTGCCGGCACTTTCCCAAACTTCTTTCACTGGAGGCCAGGGGCCTGGTCACTGACTTTCTGCACTGGGCCTCTGGTCTGGCTGCTTGCCCACTGAACTGGGGTGGCCCTTCCTAGTTACACCTGTTTTGCCTGGGGTCCCTGGGCTGGCAGTTTGCCTTCAGTGCTGGGGCTAGAGGCCTCACAGCTGGCTTGCTGTGCCAGTGGCCTGCTGAGCCAGGACCTCAGGGCCTCGGTTACTGATCTGTGCTATGGCTAAGAGCCTTCTGCTGGCTTCTCTGGACACCATCTGCATTAGACTGCACTACCCTTTTACCCAAGGGTAAAGACCTTTCCTGAAGTCCTTCTAAGTTATCTTGGGCTGGAAAATTGTTTCACTGCATCTTTTTTGTGGGTTCCATCACTACAGAATCCATTTAGAAGCTTGATTTAACATTGTTTTTGAAGGAAACTGGGGAGAGCTCAGACAACTTCCTGTCTTTTCTCTGCCATTTTGACTCCTGCCAGCATGTTTCAAAGGTAGGCTTTAAACCCAGGTCTTTCTGGCTCTGAGTTCAGCTCTCAATCTACTTCTCCCTTATTGCTCTTTATTTCCTACTTTAATTTAAAACAGATGCAGATAGCTATATTATACATTTATATGCCTCCACATATGTGTGTGTGTACACTTATACATACACACTTACCTATGTGCTATATATAAGATAGCATATCACTTATTAGTAATAATAATGCATAGTGAGGAGTGACAAAAACAAAATGACTTATTAACCAAAAGTCATTGATATTTAACTCAGAAACGGTTTTGTTTTTGATATTCTGGAAATTCACTTCCTGTGAAGCCATATTAGGCAAACCTGGTTAAGGAGTTTCTAAGAAGCTATTAGTTTATCCTATCCTGACCCTTCTAGCAGTGTGGTACAATTAAAGGAATCCTCCATCAACTACTACCTGCATCAAATTAGGCAAATAACCTAACCTTTCTGGACCTCAATTTGCTCATCTGCAAAATAAAGGATGATCACCAAGATGTTTTTCAATTCTAAATCCCTGTATAATTGTATGATCCTATTAACTTACAATATCCTAGAAGTTGAGGGGGTGCTCAGAACATATGGGAACCCTGGAGGCCATTGCTAAATTTCCAATGTGAGCTTTTATACCTTTGTAAACTAACAAATCTTACAAGTAAGGGATTGATTTATTGTTTGATTTCATTGTCTAGACTTAAGAAATTAATGTAGAAAACATTAAAAATGCAGATTAAACTTACATGTATGTCACAAGTACATTTTTTTCAGAGAGCTGGTTGTTAAATATTTATCATCTCTTATAGTAGGAATACTCTTAGTTGTTAAAAAAAAGTTGCCTTTTTAGAAGCTTTCCCTGGCACAGGCAACACAGTTAAGTGTTTGAATTTCAAAGGGCTTCATAGCACTTAAAGTAAGAGGAGGAAGTTGACCTGTCAACATATAAGCAGATTAGCTGTTCCCAACAGTGAGTGTTTGAGACATCAACAAAGCAAGTGCTTAAACTGAGTAGATGCTGTCAAAATTGAATGAAATATTTTTTAAGATAATTAATCAACTTGAAGGTAACTGAGAATTGACTGTGCTCTATTAAGATTTTATTTAAAAAGAAAACAGCTAGATGTCCAGTTGTCCTTTTCCAACATTTACTATTAAAAAAAAATTAGGGCTTTCTGCTCAATGCTTTCTCCTTGCTTAAGTTGAAAACACAGATTGCAAAAGACAAAGGAGATAAAATGTGATTCTTCTTATTTAGAATCCATGAAAAAATATGAATGGAATTGAAACTTTTTTTTTTAGAAAAGAGAGAAAATAGAATTTGGAGAATATGGGTTTAACTTTTATGATATTATTTTATGATATGCTATATATATTATGATATTAAACTTTAACTTTTATGATATCAAATTTTAAATAATATATAACTCATGCAAAATATCCAAATAAAATTTCAACCACAAAAATTTGGTACTTTAAAAACTGTATTTTACTGAACTTTGTGCATCTACGGCATGATTGTAGTCCCAATTTAAGTGGAAAACAGAGGTTAAAGTGATACTTTTAAACACAGGTTATCTAGAATTTCACTTAAAATAGTTTTCTTGTTTCATTTTAGAATACAAATACATCTCAAAATAGTACCACCTACATCACAAAATAAAAATCTAGAAACATTCCTTTTTTGACAATGAAGCTGAAATTATTGTACTCATATTTAAGGGTACAATAAAATGATGAATATACATTGAAATTTACAGTTTTCTTTTATATTTGCCATAGTGGTTATAAGAGTTGATGCAGCTTATAGATACATAATTTCAGAGGTGAAATTGATATTGAGATTCACTTGAAGTCAAATTTCCTAATCATATAGATGAGGAAACTGAAATCCAGAGAGTTGAAGTGACTGACTTAGATTTATACAGGGACTACCCCTCTCTTTTCCTCTTATCTTCTCTCCTCTCCTTTCTTCTCCCCTCCTCCTGTCTCTTCTCCTCTCTTCTTCTATTATGTACTCCTTTTCCCTCCTATGTTGGGCACTCCTCACTGAGAAAACTCCTACCAACCCAAATCAGTCATTTTTTTTTTCAAATTATAGTCTCAGAAAGTTGTCTGTTGAAATGGAGATCTCAATGAAAACGTGTCATGTCATAGTCAGTATATGACAGAGAATGGATTTGAACTCACATCTTCCTAATTCCAAAGCCATCCACTCCATCCACTACCCTATAACATATATATATATATATACATATACACATATATGTGTGTGTGTGTATATATATATGTATATAAGTATATATGTATATACATGTATATATATATAAGGCTGCTATAATCCTGGCTATGATTTTGCAACAAACATTTAATTCAATTGAAGAAATAATTATTAAGGTCTGACTATGCAGTATG